ATGGAAGAGTATTTCCCTGTGGCTTTTGGGTACCAGCAGTTGAGTGTTTTTTTTATTTTGTATAAGTGGCCTGCCCCACTCGATATTATTTGTTTTTAATGATTGCAAAATTTGGGTAGGTGAGATTATTTGACCATCGATTACTCTCACATGGTCAAAGGTGTGGTGAAGAGACTTGCGCATCTGTTCCAAAGAAGAAGTCCCCCAGGGTAATCCTCATGGAGGTGGGTAGGGGGTGCAACCTTCCCACTCCTCCGAGTCATCAAGACTTGGGACAGACATTGATGGCCCTGGCACCACCTCCCCAGCCAGATCTCTGCACACATCCCTCACCTCACTACACTGCAGCAGGACCCATCCACCATCGTAATTTTTAACATCTTTCTAAATCCTGGTCAATTTGTCCCCAAAATGTGTGGGTGAATGAGGCAGGGACTGACTGCCACCTCAACACTGTGTTTGACCCTGGAAATTTATTAATACGAGCACCAGTGAATATTCTTGAATATCCCCATGCACACACTTTACCTTCAGCGATCATGCATTTCCCAATGCCTCACCTTGAATCAGGCTTTGGTGGATTTGAGGTCTGGTTACAACCTGAGTACTCCAAGGCTTGATGTGTTCTCCCTTGGATATTCACAGGTATGTTGTATGTTCCTGCTTGATTGGGGGAGGCCTGAGGTGCATCAAGGATGCGGATCATTGTTTCTAGTTCCATGAGAGAGCACTGATCCTGGAAATGCCCAAATTCTGTGCAGCACCAACAAACCTGCCTGGGCTTTGCCCCAATTCTGGTGAGCACAGGATGTTCCCCATGTGTAGAAACAGATGGAGATTTTAGAGAGGCAGGAGAGAGATGGGGCGAAAAGCAGGATGAAAATGGGGTCCAGGTTTCAGGGCCCTGGTACCTCAGTCGCAGGGAGTTGGAACAGGAGGGGGGGAGAAGGGAGAGAGGAGAGAGTGTGGGGGGGAAAAAAAGTTGCCTTGACCAGGAACCACAGCCAGTTGATCCTCTACCAGCTGAATGGGTTCATCCAGCGGTAGCACTGAACCAATTCCACTGTTCCTGTTGGGAGTCGAACGATGCCATGCCTGTGCCATCAAAAAAGATCAATGAAGGCCTCCAGATCGCCACTGGAAGCCATCTTGGTGAGTGTCACAGGCTGGGTGGTGGAAGTGTACACAGCTGGAGATGCAGTGGACTGTAGCAGTCAGTCCTCAGCCTGCTCCTGGACAAGGGCGTCAAAGTGTAGCTGCTGCTCGTTGTGCAGGTCGAGGTGGGCTTGGTGTTGGTAGATTTGCTACAGAGTGTTGGGTGCACTTTTAGTTTCCCTGGTGCTTCTCAGTGTGCTTTCCACAATCTTAAAAAGAAATACCACCCAAAAGAGCCATCACTCATTCACTCACGACTTTCGCCTCGCTCCAGTTCAAAGTAAAGCTCACATAGAGCCCAATCTCACGTTCCATGTGTATTTGGATTTGTGTGTCGTGTGCAAGCTCGACCAGCATTATCTCCCTCTCTCAAAAAGCAAAGGCTGGTAGTAATGAGACACAATTAAGAATCATCACACATTACCTGCTGCCCCCCCACCGCACCTAGTCTTGCTTAAAAAATGAATTAATATATTTTTTGTGTGCAGGAAGTTGAAATGAAAAATTTGGAGAAACATGTTAGTTTTGAAAATGAGAATTCAAGGAAGACGTATTACAGAGAATTTAAAAAAGTAAGTTCGTGCATGTCCGCCAGTTTTCAATTGTATAATTCCCAGTATGTATTTTTTTTTTCAGTAATGCACTATTTGTCGATGTTCCACCAGGTAATTCAAGTTTCAGATGTTATTTTGGAGGTTTTGGATGCTAGAGACCCGTTAGGCTGTCGCTGTCCTCAGGTTGAGCAAGCTGTTGTCCAGAGTGGAACCAATAAGAAAATTATTCTTGTTCTTAATAAAATTGGTAAGTGGAAACAACAGAAGCAAAGCAAAGTTCCTGAATGTCAAGTTGAGCCAAATTGGGTTGAACCACAAGAAGAGTTAAAGCTGGTGCATGTGTTATACAGTACTGTGCAAAAGTCTTAGGAACATGCAAAGAAATGCTGTAGAGCAAAGATACCTTAAAAAATAATGAAATTAAATGTTTCTACATTAAAAAAATACTATAAAGAGCAGTAAACAGTAATAAATGAAACAAAGACAATATTTGGTGTGATGACCCTTTGCTTTAAAAAAAAAATAGTAGTCTCAGGTACAATTTGTGCAATTTTGTAAGGAAATTAGCTGGGAAGTTTTACTGAGCATCTTGCAGAACCAGCCACAGTTCTTCTGGAGACTTTGTCTGTTGCACTTGCTTCTTATTTTTGCATGCAAAACCCAGCAGGTTTTTTCTATGGAAAGTGGTCTCTTATGTAATATGCTGCTTTCTTTACTGCCATACAAATGTTTTCTGTAACATTTAATTTTGTGCTAGAAAACTAATGTTTGGAAATCTAAAATGTTTTTGTACTGACTCGATAATGTAAAGATGAATGAGACGATTGATCAGAATTTCAGATTTCATTTCCTGATATTTACATCTAGATATGTTAAACAACTTGGCACATGGCACCTTTTGTTGGCTGAGCACCCAATATTTAGGTGAGCAAAAGTATAGGAACAGACAGTCGTAAAGTAAATTAAAATAAATAACACTTAATATTTGGTTGCATATCCTATGCTTGCAATAACTGCATCAAGCTGGCAATCCACTGACATCACCAAATTGTTGCATTCTTCTTTTGTGATGCTTTTCCAGGCTTGTATCATAGCTTCTTTCAGTTGTTTGTTTTCTCTCTTCTGTCTCCTCTTCAGGAAATGAAATGCATGCTCAATACTGTTAAGGTCTGGTGATTGACTTGTCCAGTTTAAAACTGTACACATACTTTCCCTGATGAAGTTCTTTATTGTGTTGGCAGTGTGTTTTGGGTCATTGCCTTGCTCAATGATGAAGTTCCTCCCAATTAGATTGGGTGCTACTGCTAATATCATGAGTTACGTCATCAATAAAGAAGCTGCCATGCAAGCAATCCCAAGCAATCACACTACCTCCACTGATGTTCTCATATGTTTTGGATCATGAGCAGATCCTTTCTTTCTTCACACTTTGGCTTTTCCCACACTTTGGTAGAGGTTAATCTTAGTTCCAGAACTTTTGTGGCTCTTCTCTGTATTTCTTTGCAAATTACAATCTGGTCTGCTGATTCTTATTGCTGAGGAGTGGTTTGCATCTTGTGGTATGGCCTCTATATTTCTGCTGTCACAGTCTTCTTTGAATGTTGGATTGTGATACCTTCAACCCCTGCCCTGTGGAACTTGCAGGTGATGTCACTGACTATTGTTTTTGGGTTTTTCTTCAGAGCGCTCAAAGTTTTTGTCAACTGCTGCTGTTTTCCTTGGCCGACTTGTTTGATGTCTGGCTGTTGGTACACCAATGGTTTCTTTCTTTTTCAGGACATTCCAGGGCATTACAGGGTACACCTGGGCAACAAAAACACCTATTATTAACATGTTCCAATATTTTTGATCACTTGAAAAATGGGTGGGTTCAAACAAAAGGTGCCAGGTTCTAAGCTGTTTAACACATCTCAAGGTTCAAACAACCTTGGCGGTGAATTGGCCTTGCCGTTCCAATACTTTCAGAGGGGACTGTATAGTGCAACAGTAGTTTCTAAATGTTTGTATTCCTTAAGACCTGGTGCCCAAGGACATTGTGGAAAAGTGGATTAAGTATCTTCGCAATGAGTTCCCTACAGTGGCCTTCAAAGCTTCCACCCAGCAGCAGAACAACAATTTGGTGAGAGCCCTGGTGTAATGGTGTGCATTCATATGCAATTGGCTAAAAACAATGACTGTATGTATGAATGGACAACATGGTGCCATTCACTCCCATTGTGTGCTTTTGAAGCCTGCTTGCACAGTAGATAAGGCCAGATGGGCAGTGACGTCCATCTTTCACATGCCCATCTTAGAAGATGGATACAATGTGCGCATCTAAGATTCATTACCTAAAGTGTAACTTAAAACTACGCGTTGGCTAGCTCAAAGTGGTAAGTACAGCATTATTAATTAATATGTAAAATGCTAAACGATAGTCACATAATTCATAGGTATATTGATTTTACTGTTGATAGGGAAAGGTTTTAGAACTTTAAATCATGTTTTACTCAGCTACAATTTGCTAACCAGCTAACATTATCCATCATTTTAATCAATGTAATATAATTTGAGAATGTAAGGTACCAACTGAAAATATACTGGCAAACAGCAGTCAACATTTACACTTAATGCGAACTAGGAAAAAAAAAATCACTGCTCTAACAATTTTCATCTAGCTCTGACATCTGCAGTAAGTTAAGTGCTCTAATATCCTCTGTTCATTTTGTCAGTGCAGTTTGTTTAAAAAGGCTTGACTGGCTAAACTTACCAAGATATTTTGAGTCTTTTCTAAGGTCATACAGTCAATAAATTATTATGAAATTTAGCTAGTTATCTTCCTTGGATTGTGCCTTTACTTTATTTACTAACGTTGGTTAACTATGTATAATCAGTACAGCGAGCTAGGTTAGACATCACAATGAGCAACATACCAGAAAAACGGCAAAGAACTCCCTGCTGAGGATCTGCTAGTACAGCAGAACAAGACCTGGCTTTGCTATAGAACTGTAAAGAGCTTCAGGTGCACGTTCATCTGTCGTGGCCAAAGCCATCATTCATCTCATCCATCACGGCCTTTTATGTATGATAACTCCTACACTATAAAACCCATTTATCATAAGGAAAAATGTTGTTCCTCTTTCGGCTGCTCCCGTTAGGGGCCGCCACAGTGGATCATTGGTCCGCATATTTTGATTTGGCACAGTTTTTATGCCGGATGCCCTTCCTGACGCAACCCTCCCAAGTTTTATCTGGGCTTGGGACCGGCACTGAGACCGCACTGTTGTACGCAACCCCAGTGGCTGGGGTAGGTTCCCTGGCCGGGAATCGTACCTGGGCCATAGTGGTGAGAGCGCTGTGGCCTAACCACTAGTCCTCCAGGGACCCCCTATCACAAGGAAAAATATTGGGGGAAATATTAAGGTCAACTGAGCTTGTAAAAATGAAAGAACACTATTCCCAAAAATAATTTGTGGAGATGTAACTTAAAATGGGGGCCTCAGAGACATTTTGGCTTCACTTCTGAGACCCTGTTACAACGTCCACTCATAAATACAGTCATTGGCTAAAGGGTTTTGACCTGTTGCTTGAACCTGATTTGTAGTCTTTGGGGTTACAGACCAACTAAAGATTAGGATATGCTTTATATAGAAACGTAGCCATGTGCCTGTGAGCCAGGCCACTCAGGAGCTCCTGGGCAGCAGTGCATGTGTGGGGGCTGACTGTCTCATGAAGCTGCTCAGCAACTATTGCCGCATCCAAGACATTAAGACCACCATAACCGTAGGAGTAGTTGGTGAGTGCTTTATCACGTTACCTCAGCAAGGCAATTTTTATTAGGTAAAATGACTTTAATCACCACGTTCTTTAATTGTTCTAGGATTCCCTAATGTTGGAAAGAGCAGTTTGATTAACAGTTTGAAGAGGGCACGAGCTTGCAGTGTAGGAGCTACACCTGGTGTAACAAAGTAAGTAAACTTCTTGTTACATTGTGTTCTTGCAACTGTGGTTGTTTGTCCCATGATTTTGTCTTTGCATATCTAATGTTACCAGGTGTCTACAAGAGGTGCATATAGACAAACACATCAAGATTTTGGATTGTCCTGGTATTGTCATGACATCATCAACCAGTGATGCTGCTGTGATTCTTCGGAACTGTGTAAAAATCGAACAGTTAGTCGACCCAGTCCCAGCCATTGAAACAATTTTACGACGCTGCAGTAAAAAACAGGTGGGTAATTCTCATGATATAATGATTTTATTTTGATCAGCTTTTTAAATTTCAGATTGCATTGAAAAAAAATCATTTATTTGATGTCTTTCACTTTGGAACATAAACAGCTATAAAAGTCTAACCCTACATTAAAAAAATTTTTTACCATGGAAATAAACAGGTTTGAAATATTTAAAACAAAGAAAGTATATGTTCAGTATCTTTTAATAATAATATTTAATAAGTCCTTATTTAAATGTAAGCAAATTTGTGATATTGACTGTTAACTGCTTTGTACAAAAGGTCAGATTTTCTTTATCGCTGATCTCTTCTATTGAAACGTGTTCAGACGACACTCCAATGGATTTGCTCTAAAATGGATCATAAGGTTTTGGACAAACTTGTGGAATCCATGCCAGCTCAAGTGCATACTAAAACTCTGAAATACTAAAATAGAATCATTTTAGACTTTTGGACCCTACTGTAGGTCTGAAATTATAGTGAGTTTTATTATCGAGACTTATATTGATAATTTTCCATATTTTTATAAACTTTTTTTAGATACTGCTCAGATAATCTCATTACCGCAACAGAAAAACAGTTGACCAAAATGGTCAAGTGGATTGCTAATTTTAAAATGTTTAAAACAGATTTTAACACTTCATGTGCTTTTTTGCTAAATGCTCTAATACCCTCAATTTATGAATAATTAGGTTTGATGAATATTCATCAAATTTCACATTACAGAAACATAAAAGCTTGTTCCATTTTTCTTTTTGGTATTTATCAGACCATAGTGTAAATTTTTTGAATTTTGTAACTTTAGTAAAAATACTTTAAAAACTCAACTCATCATGAATCCTGAATGTCTAAATTATTAAAGTATTAATATACAGTCAGGTCCATAATATTTGGGCATTGGCGGTTATTGCTATTTTAGCTGTGAATCACAGTATATTGGAGTTTAATTCAGCTTTAATTTGAGTTGAACTTTAATTATTTAAGAGGTGAACTTTAATTGGGTGAACGGTGTAGTGGTGTGTGTTATTCCCTCGTTATTTCACTTGCATGTATGCAGATACAAGTTCTAGATTTGATTTCAAGTCTGGCATTTGCATTTGGAATCTGTTGCCATTAACTCTCAATATGAACTCCAAAGAGCTGTCACTGTCAGTGAAGCAAAAGTCATTGGAGTACCAGAAAAGATGGAGGACATGGATTAAGTTGGCTTCATCAACAAGCTGCTTACAGATGTTTTTGGCTTCAGACTGTTCTGGTACCAACCAGTTTTGGACAGAGTGAATAGACTGGGTTTCTCAGTTGCTAATAGGTACTGGTACAAAACCTAGAACTTTCACAGTCCTTTTTCACACTCACCAGGACAAAGAACCTGTGGGAAGGAAGAGTCACAAGGTGTAGTTCTTTTGTGGCCACAGAATCTGATTCTTTCCCAATTACAGTGGTGACCTTTCTTGAAGACTGGAGTGCTTTTCACTCTGTGAAGGCAGCTTTGTATTATAAGGGGATCCATTTCAGCCTTTTGACTTTAAAGTTTTTCGACACACGTGAGGAAGCTCAGGCCTTCTTTGACAAACACTGTGGTAATTGAGCATCCAGTGGGACCATAGGATTCACCGTCGGCATTTTGTGCTGTTAACAACACGTTTTATAACACGTTTCTCAATTTATTTATTTACTTTTTTGGTTTGTAGAGAAGTCATTTAATTAGAGATGATGGCCTTTCTTGTTGCCCATATTGGGTGAATTTTTTTCGATTGGTTTGTTTTAGTGGTACTGCTTAATGTGTGTGTTACCAGCTTCAGACCTAGGGGATATCTGAGTCGGCAGCAAATGATACACAGGCTGATGAGCACTGTGGATCGGTGTGTACTGTGGGAAACATGAAGAGACAGACAAAATTTATGCCTTTCCCTGATCACTTACGTTTATTACTGAGTAAGGAATATCATTTTTCACTTTAAATCCTTCAACGTCCAATAGCTCTCTGGTTGTCAAGTGCATATGGACAATACAGAAAACAATAAAACAGATTATAAACATTCAGCATGTATGTGAATAAAAAACATATTTTTGAATATATAATCAGTAATAATATGCATATATTTGTACATATGTACTTAGTCTCTTTTACATTAACAATTATACTCAGATTTAGATAATACTGTGGCGTTTTTGGTTATGACGCAAATGCACCAAAAACAAACAGAAAACACATCAAGAGAAATACTGCAGTTACTTTTGCCTTAATTACCCAAATATATTAATCTTTTCTCCTACATGCTTCCATTTCACTTATGCATGCGCACACTCACTGAAAGACGCATGCTGAACGACTGAACAGAGAATACAAGATAAACTGAGAACAAACTCCAAAAAACTTAATGTAACATCTCTGATATAGATTCACATCTCTAAGGTGTTAAAACATTACTTTGAGATGAATACACGTATCAGGCTTGAAATGCATTAATGAAATCCTTTGCACAATTGCTTCTATGAACCTTGGAAAATTGAAACACTTTAAAAAACATTAAAATATTATGTAGTCTTCACAACTCACTTAAACATACTCTTAAACATTGAACACTTCAACATAATTCTTGAACCAAGAAATTATTGTTTTAATTATATTTTGGCATACCTGTGGGAAACACAAAGAGAGAGACAAAAATTATTCCTTTCTCTGATCACGGCAGTTTATTACTGAGCCCGCAAACCGGGAGAAAGCCAGTCTCACTCATGTTCCACAGGAGTGCCAAAGTGTCATCTACTGGTGTGTTGGTATAATACCATTCTATTTTAAACAGTTAGGATAGTTCAAATAATCAAATTGTAGGGGGTGTCTACAATTAAATACTGGCATTTTCCTAACCCATTACACTCTCCCCTGCTTTTAGTGAGGTCTCTAGACATCTAGAATTAAACCAATTAAGCAGTTATAGCTGTCCGTTATAGTTTTCATCTAGAAATGTCAACTGTCTCACTGTTGTATCAGGTACTTACTTTGTCTGTCTGTCAATGGATAATGTCTTTTGTTCAGTCTTTCATGTCTTCACTCTAGTATACCCATACTGCTGGCACAGGTTAGTGGCATACGTCGTGTAGTATGGGGTATTCAGTAAGTGAAAAACTTGCTCAGTTGAGTTGAGGTCAGGTGACTGACTCTGCCATTTAAGAACATTGTATTTCTTTGCCTTAAGTTCTTGAGTTGCCTTTGCGGTATGATTTGGGTCATTATCCATCTGTACTATGAAGGGCTGTCCTAACAGTTTTGCAGCATTTAAATGAATCTGAGCAGAAGGTATAGCTATACACTTCAGAATTCCTCCTGCTACTTGTATCAGCAGGCATATCATCAATAAACACCAGTAACCCAGTTCCACTGGCAGCCATACATGCCATGCCATAACACTGTCTCCACATGTTTGACAGATGATGTGGTATGCTTTGGATCATGAGCCCTTCCTTTTCTTCTCCATACTGTTCTCTTCCCATCATTCTGGTACAAGTTAATCTTGCATCAGAACTGATTTTTAGAGGTTTGTTTATATATATATATATATATATATATATATATATATATATATATATATATATATATTACACACACACACCAATCAGCCATAACATTGTCCAGGGATGGGATATATTAGGCAGCAAGTGAACAATCAGTTCTCGAAGATGATATGTTGGAAGCAGGAAAAATGGGCAAGCGTTAAGGATCTGAGCAACTTTGACAAGGGCCAAATTGTCATGGCTAGACAACTGGGTCAGAGCATCTCCAAAATGGCAGGTGTTGTGGGGTGTTCCTGGTATGCAGTGGTTAGTACCTACCAAAAGTGGTCCAAGGAAGGACAACCGGTTAACCGGTTAAACAGGGTCATGGGTGCTCAAGTCTCACTGATGCGGGTGGGGAGCGAAGGCTAGCCTGTCTGGTCCGATCTCACAGAAGAGCTGGGAATTGCTGAAATTGCTGACAAATTGCTGAAAAAGTTAATGCTGGCTATGATAGAAAGGTGTCAGAACAGACAGTGCATTACAGCTTTCTGCATATGGGAATGCGTAACCGCAGACTGGTCAGAGCGCCCACGCTGTCCCCTGTCCACCACCAAAAGTGCCTACAATAGGCATGTGAGCATCAGAACTGGAC